CTAATTTCTCCTCTGCAGAAACCATGGTGGTGGAGTGGTTAAATGCCTGTACTGCAGCCACTCACTCAAAAAATGCAAGCTAGCGAGTTCAATACCAGCCAAGGGCTCAAGCTCAACTCAGCCTGACATCCTTCTGTAGGTCACTAAAATAAGTACCCAGCTTGTTGGGGGCAATTAACTTACACATAAGTGGTGTAGAAATGTACCTGCTATTGCTACATTGCTATTGAATGGTTCCTGAAGACACACTATAGTTTTTTTGTCTGCCTTTTTTCCCTTGTTTAATTCAGCAAAAGGGATGACCTTTCCAAAACTATATTTAGGGGTAAAGTGGGAAACTATTCCAACACAACCTCCATCCAGGTGTTCACCTTTTATAGCAGGGGTAGGCAACCTTTCCCCTTTAAGGGCTGAGGGACTTCAGCTCCCAGAATCCCAGGAGCTATTAGCCAACATGGGACTATTGACCAACATGGCTGAGGCTTCTGGGAGCTGAAGTCCCTCGGCCCTTAAAGGAGAAAGGTTGCCTACCCCTGTTTTATAGCATTGCAAGTGTGTATGTAGGGAGAAAGAGGTCACACTCTCTGTCCCCATTTTCATTGCATATCTACACCTCCCACCATTCACACATGTGAGAATAGGTCTGAAGACAGGAGGTGACTATGCAGAGGGAAGCCTCTCCTGTCTGATTTTGAATCCAAATCTTTAAATCTCCCCATCCAAGTGTTTAAACAAGGGGAGTCTGAGGGAAGAGACTAGTAAGGACTCAGTGGTCCCTTAATGGAGGGAAGAGGCCAGATAGTGTGGCGTCACTTGCTCTCCCCTTAATATTGTTATAATTGTGTGAGGTCTGAATGCTCAAACAAAACTGAATTGTGAATAAAAAAATTTGAGTAAAACACCCACTTAAAATAAACAAACAAAGCAAAATAGCAACAACAGCCAAACAACTGTTTGGGTTGGTATCCCAAACATTCCCTCTGTCACAGAGGGGACACGGAGAATGTGAGGCATATGGAATTACTTTATAGAGACATTTTTTCTTGGTGTCTTCATTGATTAACAGGTTCCAGTAAAAAACAAACAAACAGGGGACAGGAAACAAAAGAAACTGTGAGATAGTTTACCTCTGTAGGAAATGTCTCTGATAATAGGCTTGTAATGGACAATTACAATTGTGTCACCTGCATGGGCCTCTTAATCATTCCCTTTACAGACATAATCTGGTTATTTTACAAAAGGCCTCGGCAGATGGCTAACTGAGCCGTCCCCGAGGCAGGGAAGAGGAGGGGCAGCCGCACGCTCGGCGCCCCTTCCTCCTCCCGAGGTTGCCCTCGGAGCCGCCGGCCATCCGCACAGCCGACACTCCGGGGGCAATCTCCCGCCGCAGCGTCCGCACACGCTGCGGCAGAAAAGCCAGCGGAAGTGTGCCTCAACCTTTTGGGGCACACTTTCACTGACTTCTGAAAGGAGCGCTGATTTAGCGCTCCTTTCAGGGGCGGCGAAGGAGTGCCGCAGGAACGAGGCATGAGGCTGCCTTGGTCCTGCAGCACACCTTCCCGGGGTGGCGCAGAGCTGCCAGTCTGCTTCCCCCCTAAGTTTCTAAGTCATAACATCTGTCTTTGTTCACCTTATATATATATATATATATATATATTCATCAGAAAGGAGAATTGTTACTCCTAGAAGCCTCCAGAAATGACATTGTTCTCTAAAGCACAGATGCAAATTTTGTAGCAAATTTTGTAGCTCTTCAAAAGGTCTTGGACTGTTTAACTCCCAGCAGTTAGTGTTGTTGAACTAATTCCCATTGACTATTGGCTAGGGTTGCTGGAAGATGCATTCCAACAACATCTGGAAAGTGAAGCAATTCCCATTTCTGCTCTAAAGCAAGAAGGAGGGCCTTGTCTCAACCTTACAGTTGTTTTTGATTTGGAAAAGAAATTAGGAGGAGGATGACATTTTGGAATGGAGTTCAGCCCACAATGGATCCTGGGAGAAAAAAGGCTCCCAGATCTGCTGAAGTTGCCCATTCCAGAGGTATATAATTGTATGCTCATCTACATCAACACTCAGCATAATTTTGTATTTAAATCCATGAAAAAAGAAGAAGGGTTGTGAAGCCTCATATATCTACTGAGCTATTAGCTGCAACTCGCTGTACAGGATGGGATATGTTTACTGCTCCACCCAGACCTGGATCCCTCTCTTCCTCTTGTGCACAACAGGGGAAGCTATAAATTAGACAGACAGCTTATAAACAATCACAATCTCCTTTATGGTAGCTGACCTTCATGGTAGCTGGTGTCCAAGGGGATGTAAAGAACACTCACTAGTTTTGATATTAAGACATGTTGTTAAAAAAATGGAAAATGGTCCACTAAGGTGAGACTTTTCACATTTCAAGATGTGGAGTGAAAATTTCATTTGTGTAAAGCAACCCACATTGGTACAACACACCTTGAGTTCTGTGCAGAAACCACTCATTTTTTCTATAATGATTTTCTTTTTGCAAAAAAGTAAAAAAAAAAAGGAAAAAGGAAAAATATGCAAAATAACGTAATCTTGCAAAACAGAGGGGAAACTTTTGGAATTTTGTTTGCATGTTATAACAAAATAGACAAGTTTCATGCAATCATCTATGAATACCTTTGGAATTCTGACAGGTAGTCCAGTGGTTAAAGAGAATAACCCCTTGTTGAAGGTCAATGTCAACTGTAGAGAGAAGCAACACTATCAAGATAGCAACCGAATTACAACCACCCTCCACTAGATGGCCAAATGGAAAATGACAGCTATAATGTAAAATGCTTGATCTAAAATGAACAAGAAAGCCAAGAAGTTCAAAATGTTGATATCTTGATATGTGTTTTGCTATTTTGTCAGAGCTGAATTCACAATAGGCAAAGAGGTCAGGCAAGGCTGTATTCTGTCAATTGTTCAATTTGTATGTTGAAAATATCACAAGAAAAGCAGACCGAGAATCAGAAAGAGGAACAGTGAAGATAGGAGGAAGAAATATCAACAACCTAAGGTATGCTAATGATACCATAATAGCAGCAGAAAACATCACATACTTGGAAAAGAAGGTTTAACTAAGGAAGGTTAAAGAGGAAAGTGCAAAGGAAGGATTAATGCTGAATATAAAGAAAGCAACAATTATGACCACAGAAAATATACATAAATTCAAGCTAGACAAGAAGGAAATTGAAATAGTTAAAGAATTCCTGTACCTAGGATCAAATATAGATCAGAGTGGTGACTGCAGCCAAGAAATAAGAAAAAGATTAGGAACTAGAGGGGCTTCTGAAGAGTAAAGATATACAACTGAGCAGAAAGTTTAGAATTGTCCAAGCCATAGTATTCCCCATCACTGTATATGGATGTGAGAGCTGGATATTAAAGGAAACAGACAAAAGGAAAATCAACTCATTTGAAATTTCGTGCTTGAGAAGAGTTCTTAGGATACTATAGACAGCTAAAAAGAAAAACAGGTTGGTCTTGGAACAGATCAAGACAGATATTTCCTTAGAAGCCAAGATTACTAAATTGAGGATGATGTTCATTGGCCATATAATGAGAAGGCATCAGTCACTGGAAAAGACAATAAAGGCAGAAAGGAGAAGGAGCAGGGCAAGACCACAAGCCAGATGGATGGACTCAATTGGGAGGGACATGGCCTTGAAGGAAATGAGTAGAAAAATGGAGGATAGGGGTTCTTGTAGATGTCTCATCCACAGGGTTGCCATGAGTCAAGCTCGACTTGAGGGCAGATAACAACAATAACAACATTTTGTGACCACAGTGGATGGAAGATTCTGGGAGTTTTAATTTTTTATAAAAGGAACTTTCCAGGTTCTGCTATAAACAACCTAGCTAATACTATCTTGCTTTCCTGGCATTTCTTATTCTATGTGACAGTTATATAAATCAATGCACTTTAAATTTAATTAATGTTAATTAAGTCATGCAAATTAATATAGCACAAAAATGGAGAGGCTGCACTCTGAACCCAGATATCCATGGGTGAATTCTCTCCTCTGCAGTCACGAGGGTGATTTTAGGCAAGCTGTTGTATATCTGCTCCTATGTCCCATCTGCAGTATTGTGAATTATAATCTACCTACTTTATAGGTCTCCCCAACAGAGCAGTGCAATTGCAATGTGAAGTGTTTTGAATAGTTTAAACGCTATAGCTATGATAAGACAACCATGGTAAATTATCCTGCTGTTGATGCAACCTATACCTCAATGTTGGGAAGACAAAAACATTCCCTTTCATCATGTTAATAACATATATCGCCAACATAAATGAATCTAGGCTTAAAATTATAAGCATGCTATGCACTGGTAATTCAGCTCTTTCCCAAAATCAGTAAGGAGAGTGTTTTGAAATAGCTTTTATCTTGATATTTAATCTTCTGGTAAAATCTATATTTGAAAGAGGACAGATTTTCAAATGATGGACATTTGTGCAAAAGATTTTTTTTTTCATTCCTTCACCATTCCTGACCAGGTGTATATTCTTTGAATTGTGACATACTTAAAAGCAATGTCCAGAGATTTGTAATCATCCATTCATTCTATAATACAGTGAAGGCAACACTTAGGTCCAAAACACATTGCAGAAATCATCCAGTGTGAGAGTGTTTTAACTGCCCTGGCTCAATGCTAGGGAATTCTGGGAACTGTAGTTCTTTCAGAGAACTCTGGTGCCACAATAAACTACAATAAACTCCTAGCACTGAGCTAGGGCAGTTAAAGTAGGTTATTTTTGTAGTGTGTTTTGGACCTAGATAATCTCACATTATATAAGGGAATTCCCATGCTTCTTAATAAATTTACAACTGGAAATTCTGCTTGAAGACTTATATATCCTACTTCACTCTACCTACTTCTCTTATTTTCACACAAGCATGACACAAAAACCTAGGTAGTCATTGAGGTGTTGCAAGATGCACTAAAACAGTAGCATGCATAGGGGTTGCTCAAGACATTTTGGGAGAGTGGTGTAGTGGTTTGAACATTGGACTACAACTCTAGAGACCAGGGTTTGAATCCTAGTTCGGCCATGAAACCCACTAGGTGACCTTGGGCAGGTTACATGCTCTTATTCTCAGGGGAAGCCAATGGCAAACCTTCTCTGAACAAATCTCTGAACAAATTAAATAAATCTTGCCAAGAAAACCCTATGATAGGGTTGCCATAAGTTGGAAATGACCTGAAGGCACACGGCACCACTACTACCACCACCATGAAGACATTTTGCTGCCTGAGACCAAGTACAAGATGGAAACTTCCAGTTCAATTTTATATAGATGCTAACTAGATCTTACCTGAAGACTGAATCTTACCTAAAGCATGGTAATGGGACAGGGACCTCCATCATACCAGAGGACACACTATTATAAGAGAATAGTTAGGGAGGAACACAGTTGTGCATTTGGAGAAATGGCTGAGAAGCAGCTATTGCGATCTACAGCAACTGCAATCTGTGCTGGTTGCCTCATTCTGCTTAACGGTATGACCTATCCTGAAAATACATGAGTACAATTGTCTAACTAAGCTTCTTGCTTTGGAAGAAGAATAGGTTGAAATCATCTATTTCCTCTTGTCAGACACATCAATACATTGTTTTTTTCTTACAGAAATATGAAATACAGCTCCGGTGGATTTTAGCCACCTCCAGTAGTTTTACATCTGGATCACTGTTAATCTCTTCCCAGATGTTAGGTTCTAGGGGGAAGTGCTATGTGGGGATGTAAAGATTACAATATTTTCTTTTCTTTTATTTTGTAAAAATTCTGCAAATTGACTAATTCTCATCAAGAAAAAGGTCAGGGAAATGCTCAATCACTAAGGGGCTACGCAGATGGGTGGCTTTGGGCTGCTGCTAGTCACGGATTGGGGCCACAGCAACCACATGCCATGGCCCCAATTTTCCCTTTTGCCCCCCGTAAAAGAGCATCAAAATGCCACTCCTTTTAGGGGCAGCAAAAGGCTGCTTTAAGAGCCAGCGAGTGAGTCTTTAGCACCCTTTCCGGCATTGGCGTGGGGTTGGGGCGGCTGGCGTGCAGCTGCCCCACCCCATCTCTGCCTTCAGGCTGGCCCTTTGGGCCTGTCTGCAGAAGCCCTTAGTTCTCTTTAATGCTTCAGGTCTTTTTTGAGAAAGGGCCCTTGCAGATCTCACCCACCTGTAACATATCAATAAATTGTACAGGAAAGGATCTTCACAGGCACTGGCATCTAACAGTTCAGTTCACTGTGTGAACATTACAGTATGTACCTTAATCTTTTGTACAGCCAAAAAGAAACAGAGCTTATCTTGAATAATCACATTGTACTCCTCCTAAATGTTGCTCCTTAACTTGCTGATTCCCCATCTACTTGAGCCTTTTCCTACCTTTGCACCCCATTTTCAGATGCGTCTTTCCTCTTCAAATCATGATTAATGCTACTTACTGGTTCTTGTGTGACTGGATACAAAAGCCAACCACATCAAGCTTATTGTATTGCAAGAAATGTTTCTATTCTTTCTGCTGTGGGTAAAAAAAAGATACAATTGTTCTACCTGTCAACAAAGACAGAAACAGAAAATTAATAACCATCTTTTGACCTGCTGCTTGAATTGTTTTTGCTCCTTCTAATTTCCTGCCAAAGCGCACCATACGGTTTTGCAAGGTGACATTTTCAGACGCTCCATACAGATTGATAGGCTAAAGTACTGAGAAACCACAAGAATTCTTATAAAGAATGACCTTCATCCATTATAAATTCAGACCTCATGATGCTATTACTGCTAAGAAGGCAAAGAAAGGGAAAGAAAAGAAAAGATATCCTCACAAATAAACAGAAGGAGGAAAATAAGCTCAGGCAGGATATAGATCACAAGGAAAACAGAAAACAAAGAGCAACATAATCTGCAAAACCATGATAATACTTGACTGAAAAAAAGTCTAATTTTAATGTTTTTGGCAAACACAAGATACAAAGCAGGAAAATCAAAGTGGACTTGAAAACTTGAGGAAATATGTCACAAACTGTGTAGAAGAATAAGAAGGAGGCAGAATATGGCCATACAACATTCAGACAAATTTCAAATTATGAAATGCCTCAGGCCAACTCAGGTCAAATCAAAGCAAGTCAGATCAGCCTGGTTCAGACCCAGAGGTTCAAAGTGATTCAGATGATTTGAGATCAATATGGGCAGTGGGAAGAACCAGTCTGTCTCCAAAAACACCAGGCAAGGAAAGAGACAGTGGAGGGTGAGGACAGCTTCCAATCTGACACAAAAAATGCTCACCAATTCTCTCTACTGTTGGGAGAAAGTGTGAGGTCAGCATGTATTCTCTCAGTCCTTAAATGCATATTTGTGCTCTTTTTCTATATCTAGCTGGTAACATTTTTTTCTGCCCATCCAGTGCTGCCTTCTCAGTGCACTACTGTACTTTTGACCATTAGATCAGACCTTTAGTTGTGCTTGAATTTAAACTGTACTTGAACTTGGAAGCTCAGGGAGGTTCTAGGACAGTGTCTTTACTTATTTTTCTTTACTTTTTTCCTTAACTCTGTAAACTCCCCCCTCTCTCTGTGAGCTACATACACAATCTCTTACTGAATGAGCATTAAACATATACCAGAGACACCAGACTGGTAGGACTGTGCACCAATCAGACTGTATATGTTTTTAAAATATATATTTTTTTTCTTATTTTCTTTTTTAAAGATGAAATTTAAATGTGCCTGACATAAATATTATTGGAGCTACCCATATAGCATTTTGCAGTGTTTATTTGCTCTAAAAGGGATATTCTGTTTCCAAATCTCATGTTATTGTGTTTTGAAAAATCACCAAATAGTTAGAGCTGTTTAACTTCCTGGCAGTAAGAGCTGTTCAATAGTAGAAAACACTCCCTTGGAGTGTGGTGGAGTCTCCTTCTTTAGAGGTTTGTAAACAGAGGCTAGATGGTCATCTGTTGGGGGTACCTTGATTGTGTATTCCTGCATGGCAGGGGGGTTGGACAGGATGGCCCTTGAGGTCTCTTCCAACTTTATGATTCAAACCAACAGGAGTGCCTTGATACCTTAAGAAGTGTTTTGTCTTGTCAGCAGTGACCAGAATCCTGTGTGTAGTTTTGTAATAAATCTGGTTCACCCTTGTTTGAACCTAGAATCTTTGCTTTCAAATACTTAAAAAAAAGAGCATAATGTATTCATAGAAGCCAGGATGTTCTAGTGTTTTGAGTGTTGGACAATCACTCTGGAGAACAGAGTTCTAATCTCATCTTGGCCATCTAACCCACTGTGTGCCCTTGGCCAAGTTACACTCTCTCAACCTCAGGGGAAGGCTATGGCAAACTCCCTCTGAACAAATCTTGCCAAGAAAACCTCATTATAGGGTTGTCTTAGGGTCACCATAAATCAGAAATGACTTGAAGTCACAAAGCAGCAACAACAAAATGTATCTATTATTTCAAGAGTCTACTAACTCTAAAGTAGTCAACACAATGAGTTATACATTTTTCCAAGCCAATAATATTGGAAAAAATGTTTGCTTCATTTTAAATAAAACAAGGCTGCAATCCTCATTATTCCACTATAGAACAAGTACCATTAAACAATGGGGGTCCTTCTCAAACAAACATACATGTGATTGTGCTGGGGAATGTTTACAAGAAGGTAATATTTTGTTAAAATCAGGTTTAGTAAAGACAATTGAATGAAGCTTCTTGGTTAAATGCAATAACCTAAATCCAGTTCTTAAACTCAACTGGAATAAGACCATTGACTCAATGAGAATTTCAAAAGAGAACACTTAAATACAATCCATTGATTATATGGCTCTATTGTAGCTGGGACTAAACAATTAGATTTAGGTCAATATGCTCAATAAGACATATACTACAACATGCTGCTCGCTGGGTAGCTATTTACCTACATGGGCAACTTACCAAAAAAATAAAAATAAAATAAAATAATAAGAATTGCATCTATCCCAGCAATGCTAAATTGCTGTTCTTCTGCAATTGTTGAGTTTCAGGGCAACTGTACTGAAGAGATTCATCTATGAAACTAATAGATGACATATCAATGCCATACATGCAAAACTGGTGCAAACCACCAGTAACTCCTAGTTTTAATTAAATGTTTCAGAAGCTGGCATGTTGGTACAACATTCAGACAACTAAACTGTCACCACTATATAAATGTTAATTTTATTTAAATTGTCTGGAGTAAACTGTCTCATATACCAAAGTGGCACAATCAAACCTTGTGGAATAAAAACTACTGTTTCAAGAGAAAGTCATCCACTAGATGGCAATATAACAGCTCACAAATACCAACTGCAATAGCCATCACATGCATACACAATAGCACACTATTTGAGGGGTGTGTGAAGACTGTCCCTTTGTTTCTGTGGATGCATCCATCTTTCTACACTTTTATTGAACTGTTCTGGCTATAGTACTGAAAATGTGGCTCTGCAATTTTAATACTGGTCTCAGAAATAATTGGTGAACAATGTATGTGCATCATTATTTGCAGCTAACCAAAGTATACATTATATTCCCTATTGAAAGACAAGAACTGTACATTTTTATACACTCTCCAATTAAATGCACATTGCCTTGAACATCTAATCAGTGTTCTTCATCCTTTTCAAAACTAAAACTAATATTCCTAAAATTTGCTGCCAGTTTGGAACACTTCTCTGTAAGAACAAATAAGCCAGTTTCAGACTAAAAGCAGAAATAACAGATATAAGGGAAATCTCTTCAATATTGCTAGCATTCCCAAAAGCTCCTATGAAAGTCTGTGCAGTTCTTGGAATGACCTTTTAGGAAGAGCATTTATATATTGGAAGAGCTATGGATGTGATGAATGTTTTGAGACAAGATATAAAATAGATAAAGCCAGCTGTGGTATAGTGATTTGAACACTGAACTATGACTCTGGAGACCAGAATTTGAATCCCTAATCAGCCATGGAAATCCACTAAGTGACCTTGGGCAAGTCATACTCTTTCAGCTTCAAAGGAAGACAAAGGCAAGTCCCTTTAGAACAAATCTTG